AGAGCACCCTACCCGCTGGGAGATGCCGTGGTGGTGGGTGTCTGTAACGTGACAGGTGGGAAAGGCGACTATAAATGTCTCCAGGGGTAGGCAACCTATGGCACGCGAGCTGATTTTCAGTGGCACTCACACTGCCTAGGTCCTGGCTACCGGTCCAGGGAGCTCTGCATTTAGTGTAGCTTCTTAAACATTTTAAAAACCTTATTTACTTTACATACAGCAATAGTTTAGTTATATATTATAGACCTATAGAAAGAGACCTTCTAAAAATATTAAAATGTATGACTGGCACACGAAACCTTAAATTAGAGTGAATAAATGAAGACTCGGCACACCCCTTCTGAAAGGCTGCCAACCCCTGACTCTAGCCCCTTGGGGAGGAGGGGGATTCTGGCCCTGGTCAATGCCGCTTTGTCCAGGCGCTCGGTACGTGGGTGCGAATGTAGTTTCCTTAACCGTGTTGCTCAGCACTGAGGACACAATCGGTGACCTGAAAAAACTCATTGCAGCTCAGACTGGGACCCGCTGGGACAAAATTGTGCTGAAGAAATGGTAAGTGGGTGAATTAAACGCAGGGGCAAGGGAAGGAAACACCTTAGCACAGGAGTGGCCAGCCTGAGAAGGAGCCAGAATTTACCAATGTACATTGCCAAAGAGCCACAGTAACACGTCAGCAGCCCCACATCAGCTCCCCCACCCCGCTCCCAGCATCTCGTGCCCACTGGCAGCCCCGCTGATCAGCTCTCCTCCTCCCTCCCTGCTGTTTCGTGGTGTGCAAGAGCCTCTGGGGGAGAGGAGTGAGGGCACAGCAGGCTCAGTGGAGGGGGTGGAGTAGGGGCAGGGCCTGTGGCAGAGCCAGGGGTTGAGCAGTGAGCACCCCTGGGCACATTGGAAAGTTGGTGCCTGTAGCTCCAGCCCTGGAGTTGGTGCCTATACAAGGAGCCACATATTAACTTCTAAAGAGACGCATGTTGGCCACCCCCACCTTAGCAGGCTTGATGCACTGGGACTCCCTGGAGCTACAGATTTCAATCCCAAGCAGGGTCATTTTAGCTCTTCATCCTCCCAAGGCAGGTAAACTGAATTCTGTGCACTTCCCTGCATGTGGGTGTGTCTGATGCAGTCTTCAGCTACAATCCACACCCCTCCCACCACACATACCCAGAGATGGCTGCATTTGAGGTGGTGTGTCTCACTAGTTTCTGATGCACTCTGGGATGGAAAGCTGCATATGAATGCAAAATCTTAAAGAATGCAACAGAAAGGGTGATCCTAGGGAGAGGAGGCATGTGGTGCAGACTTCCAGTGAGTGTTTATTTAAGATTTCTTTTTAGGTTCTCAATTTTTTAATTCTCAGATGTTTCACGTTCTGTACCTTCCCCATTGTCCAATGTTCCTGGGGGCTCCACTGACAAACCTCTCACTTAAAGTCTCAGAGGCAGGCCAGCGGCTCTAAACTTTGTAAAACAAAAGTATAAATAACTACAAATTATTCTGGATGAATGCTGCTGAGTGAGTTTTCCTTCATAGTCTCACCTGTAGTGACATTCGACTCAAGATTTTTACTTGGTTCTCCATCTTTTTTTCAGAATTTCCTGCTGTTCCCCTAACAGGGGATGGATCACTTGATGATTACATGTTCTGTTCATTCCCTCTGAAGCACCTGGCCTTGACCACTGTCGGAAGACAGGATACTGGGCTAGATGGACCTTTGGTCTGACCCAGTATGGCCATTCTAACTTCTATATGTGAAGTTATATATTTAACACTGTAACTGCACATAGGCAGTCTCTTCCCTTTCCCCATGGAATTCATGATTGGCATTTGTTAAAAAAACACTGTTTCAGAAACCTGTTGTAACATTTCAATGATTCATTTTCTAATGTAATAACTGATACCAGCAAACCTCTGGGTATTATCACAATTGTTCCATTCTTATTGACTACACTTCCTTTTGTTAATTCTTGTATTACACTTCTGTTCTTGACTAACTTCCTTTTTAAAACGTTTGTGCAGGTACACAATCTTCAAGGACCATGTATCACTGGGAGACTGTATCCTTGAACATTAGAATAGTCCAAGTAAACTGCAGCTTCTGGAGAAACCCTTTGTCTAGTTAAAATAACTGTCACTTACAAGATCCACAACCTAAGTAATGGAGTGACAGGCACATTATAAATACATAGCTAGACAGAGACCCTTCCTAATCTGACATAGTTGCTTGTCACAAACCAGAGGTCTTGCTTATCCCCTTGGCTACTGGTGACTGATGGTATTGATAGGCTATCATAAGATAACCGGTGAATCTACAGGAAAAAGTCCCTTACTAAACTGAGTGGGGTAGCATATGACGGGGACTAATATGTGGAGTTAAGATGCTGCTGCTTCTAATGTTGATGCTTACAATGTCTCATATGACTCATGTTCCCTTCCATAACACTAGCAGTTTAGTTTGTCCATTTGGGACCGAAACACACACCAGTAGTAAAGTGGGAAGGCAAATTCTGTTAAGAATTTGTACAATGTATCAAAGAATAAATTTGCTGCTGTAGTTTATTTTGAATTATTGAGCTGGTAGAAACTTAATGCCTTCTTCCATTTGAGTTTGAGCATTTCCTGTGGAATTCCCCTTAACTCATTCCTTCCAGATGAAATCCATGATGGCATGAACCTGGAGTTATATTATCAGTAGCCTTGACTCTAGCTGCAGTTGCACATGGCAGGCATCACTTTTCTATTTTTTTTCTAATATAAAACTTGTCTATAAACTTTATTTCATGTAAGGTAAAAATTAAAAGCTCAAGTTGTGCATGTAGTTTTATCAGATGTCTTTAGCTTTGATGGCAATAAAACTAGCTGCAAATTTGTAAGAAGGTAGATTTTGTTTTAAAAAATTGTTTGTAATAAAGGTCTCCTGACAACTTCAGTGTCCTACTCCTGGCTTTTTAAGTTAGAAGAAATCTCTCTTCCTCAGTAACTGCCACAGCAGCCCTAATGAATACAGCTGTTGGAAAGCAGTGGTGGTGTTCTAGGCCATTTAGCTTTCTGGAATAAGATGAATACTATAGCACTCTCCATGCATCTGCTGAGAGGGACTCTCTTCTAGTTAGCTTAAGCAGCACAAACACAAGCAAATGTATCTGTCATTTAAAATTTAGATTTTTCTCTTTTTTAAAAGAAACTTTGCAGTAGTTCTGTGGTTAAGCTACGATCCAGGCAGGAACATGCAAACAGCAACTCCCATCACGTTTGTTTCTATAACAGCCTCTGCCCAAGCTATAGGCATCCTGTGTTGGTAGGTACTATAACCTTGTATATGCTCTGCCCTATCATTCTCACTGAACCTTCAAACACAACCTCCCCCGCCCCTCCAAAATCCCACTCCAAACTGTTCGTTCAGCTCTGTGATTGGCTAGGATCCTGAGAATTTACATCAATGAGACATGATTGGCAGTGAGAGGAGAGCAATTGATTAAAAAGCACTTTAACAAATAACCGCAATAGTAATAATAGATTTCTGAATACCTTCATTCTTAACCCAGGCCATCTCCTAGTTTCCATGGTAAAGTCTGTCTGGTACGACTTCTGTCACAGCTGTTGTATTTATCCCCTTGTAACCCTTTGCCTGGCTCCTTTAATATAATTTTTAACTAGATCCACCCTGTACGTCCTTGTACCTCTACTGGAATAAGGAACTAGTTGCATTCGCAGCAGCACAAACTGAAATATCTTCTTGAATTCCTATCTCATTGCCTGTTGCTGCTCCATCTGCTGGACTTTTGGTGACTTACTTTCTCAGACACCTGTGCTTCACTTTCCTCTATTTTACCTGTAGTGACTTCTCCCCTGTCTTCTAAATTTTGGTTATTCATCCCTTTGAGCTATTTTTAATTATGCATCAATGGAGTTCCTTCCTGCTGCTCTCTGTGAGAAACCTTGAAAATATGAAACAATCAAAGATCACCCAGCAGTTCACAAAACAAAAATGGAAAGCAAGTTAATGACCAAACAAACATGTAACCCTTGTCCCGTGATCCTTTTAATCGTGAATCCGAGATGTTTTTAAGACTAGAAATTTGTTTAACATTGTAGATAGATAACACTTCCTGGTGTATTTTGGGGGGGAACACGTGCTTGCTAATAGTCATGTGATACCCCTTCTAACACCAAACAGCAACAGTTCATCTTTAGTTTGCACTACAAGCTACTACGGTACTACCTCCCCACATGGCTCGGTACAGGAACCCCCGACAGCAGCTGGCCGTGGCGTTCTCTCCTTGTCCCTCCCCGGCTTCCATCCCCGTCACGTGGGCCTGAGACTCCGGAATCGCTTCCGGGATCATTGCGGCCTTTCGCCCGTAGCCAATCACTGATCTTCTGCGCCAATGAGACAGGGTCTAGCGAGGGGGCGGGACCTCCGCTTTTTTGAACCAATGGGAGCCGGCGGGGGTGGGGCCTCGGTCTCCTCTGCGCCAACGGGAGGCGGTGGCGCCCGGCGGGCGGGGTTGGGCGCGGGAAGGCGGAGCGGGCGCGGCGGAGGAAAGATGGCGGAGGAGGAGAAGCTGCCCTCGGGCTGGGAGAAGCGCATGAGCCGCAGCTCAGGTACCGCGGCCGAGCGGGGGCCCAGGCGCTGGGGCCGATGGGGGGGCCGGGAATGGAGGGGCCGGGGTTGGGGGCCGAGCCTGGGGCCGGGCCGGGCGGGTAGGAGGCGGACTCGGGCCGGGCCGGGAATGGAGGGGCCCGGGTTGGGGCTGGAGGCGGGGCCGATTGGGGGCCTGGCGGAGGGGGGCGGG